TCACTCTAACCACAATGGAAAATTCTATTCTCAAACATGCCCACATGTTTTTCAACACGGAGGCCTTTGCATTTGTTGAAATATATCCTGGGCCAACAACTGAAATGGAATCTTTATGGCTAAAATGAGGTACATCAGAAACGTAATCAAGTGGCCATGGCAGGGAGAGGGGTGGATTACATACTTCTGTGTTACTAACTGCCTTAAGGTCTTCTTTCCTGTAATTGAGCAGAAACTGGCCCTTAAAAAATGTCAAAGCAGCTATAGCCGGGAGTTTCCCAATTGACCCTGGGCAGATTGCCTGACGCAATCCTCCTTCCATGCCTTGCAGTCCCACCAGCAACTTTAACCAGACAGGAGACTGACCTTGCAAACATTCTTTCCTGATAAGTAACCTTGGACCTCAAGCCAGTTTCCTTCGGCTATCACACTGTACACAAAACATCTTTCTGCCTGATAGTTCACCTGTTGACATAAAGTGTCACACTCCACTTCATTTTTGCGCTAAGATTCCACTCTAAGGTTAACATAGGATGTATGTTACCTGTATGTTTGCCCACTGTGCACGCACTTGACTTCCCTCATAAGTATTCATAGATTTCCCCAAAACCTGCTAAATATGCACGTAAGACAGACCCTAAAAGACAAAAATGCCAGCTTTCTCCCACTTTGGTTGTCCCAGAGGCCATATTCCCCAATCTGCAGATTTTCTTTCTGGAAATAAACTCTGCTTCTTTTCCTTCCCCCCATAGGCCTCATGGTCATTTGTTAACACATGGGTGGTTTCCTCTACCTAGAATTTCTTCTTCCTGATCTCCTTCTTGCTTGCCTGCCTCCTTCTTGCTACTCAGGTCTCAGATTAGGTCACCCCTTCTGAGAGGTCTTTCTCCTAGACTCTCTCTGTCACTCACACTTTTAACATTCTGTGTACATCATGTATTATTTTGGGAATTTCTGATTTTTAATTAATTTTTAAGTGTTTTCCTTCAAGTTCTGAGAGAATGGGGGCTGCGTCTGTCTTGCTGTAGGTTGTCACTGCTATATCCCTAGTGCCTAGATCAGGGCTAAGCCTCACAGACACTCAAGACATATTTGGTGAACCATTTGAAAAGTCACTTCGCTTTTTTAGTCCTTAATTCCCAACTCTTAAAAGTGGGTTGTAAGAAAGCTGGAATTTTGTCTACTTTTTAGAATAAAAATTTTTTATCATTGAATTGGAGAAAAATTCTCAATCTAAGTCATGCCAGAAGGAACAAAAGCCTTGTCATTTTTAAAATGAGGAAGTAAAAATTCAGTTTTCTCCTTTTTTGCCCCTTGTTGATCCATCAAAATAGTACCAGCAGACTGAAAAAGTTATAAACCACAAGGACAGGGAAAAGGAAAGAGGAGAGAAGAATAGGTGAGAAAATGTCCAGAAATATTTGGAAGCTGGAAGACAGAGGGAGCCTGGCAAGGGGTTCAGTGGGGTGCCTGCAGGAAGAGACTGAGGAGAGTAAGCCGGCTTAGTCCAGAAGCCCACAATGTCCAGGACTTGGGGCACCAGATACTGCAGACATGGAGCCAAGAATGTGAGAGTGGCTGCAAGTTTCTATGTGGAGCGTCCGGTCTGTGTGTCTCCATTTTCCCTGTCCAGGCTGCTACATCCCTCCCTCTGATCAGAAGGAGAGGGACAGTTGAAAGAGAAAGGTTCAGGGCTTGAGTTATAAGGCAGAGTGAAGAGAGCAAGAGAGGGGCAATAAGGGTCTGAACTCTGAAAGATGGGTCTTGCAGTCAGGGTTGCCCCTGGGGAGTACAGGACTGGCAAATATTTCTTTGTGGAGAATTCTAGCCGCGTAATATCTGTTTGTTGGCATTATTCTGGTGACCCAGTCTTATGTGATCCTGTGGTAAAAGTACTGTACTGGCCAGCAGGATGTATCTGCTTGCTGGGCCACTCTCTTAGAACCAAGGCTCAGCCACTGGGCCCCAGGATGACTCCATAAATATGAAAACTGGGATTCCTTGGAGCATCTGGTCAACCTCTTGTATGAAGGAGAGGGTCAGAGAGCACCCCATGGGAAGAAACAGGGACTAGGATTCATGCAGGACCTAGTCTGGTCTTGGGGCACCTTACTGGACAACATGGCTTGCCCCTACCACTCCTAGGGGAACAAACTATTTTTGGCCAGTCCTGAGGGGCAATTTGAGGAAGATAGATGATAAAACATGGAACCCTATCAAAGAAAGGACATCTAGATACTTACATCTAGATGCAAGCTGTTTCATTGATGGTTTCTCAATGAAATGGCTGTTTCTTCACATGATGGCCCTAGAGCAGGCGTCCCCAATCCCAGGGCCACAAACTGGTACTGATTTGTGGCCTGTTAGAAACCAGGCTGTACAGTAAGAGAGTGAGTGAGTGATATTTACAGCCGCTCCCATCACTCACATTACTGCTGAGCTCTGCCTCCTGTCAGATCAGTAGCATTAGAGTCTCATAGGCGCATGAACCCTGTTGTGAAATGTGCATGTGCAGGATCTAGGTTGCATGCTCCTTATGAGAATCTACTGCCTGAAGATCTGAAGTGGAGCTGAAGTGGTGATACTAGTGCTGGGGAGCAGCTGCAAATACAGATTAACATTAACAGCGAAGTTTGGCAGCACATTCCCCCTCCTCCCAGGTCATGGAAAAATTGTCTTTCACAAAATTGAGCCCAGATGCCAAAAATGTCGGAGACTGCTGCCCTAGAGTGAAACCCACCAAACACTCTGAGCCTTCTATTTATAGATATATACTTCTTTTTTCTTGAATATGATCAGATAGTCAGGGAACATCAGACATATAAGGAAAACCTTTCACATGAAGCACAGGCACCAAATTAAACAAACTAACACACACATGCACGCATATGAAATAGACCTAAATCAGAGTAGGTGTGAAGAAAAAGCTCTAAAAGTCCTCAGAGAGATGAGTTATGGCATTCATAAAACAAGTGCAAGATGCAATGAAGAGAAAAGAACAACCAAAGAATAAGAAAGAGAACTCGGAAATTGCATATGTGATAGTTGAAATAAACTCAGTAGAAGGTTTGGAAGATAAAGTTAGTGAAAGTGAGGCACAACCAGGAAGTGAGGCATGAAAGACAAGGATGGAAAGGAAGAGAGACAGTAAGGCAGGGAGAAGTTCAACTCAAGAAGACCATCACTTAACAAACAGGAGTTCTATGAAGAAGGATGAGAAATGAGAGGAGAAGAAATTATCAAAGAAATTCTAGCAAAGATATATTAGACTGGAAAGACAAGAGACTCCAGATTGAAAATACCCCCAAATGCCCAACACAATCACTGAAAGAAAATCCACACCAAGGCACATCATTTGAAAAAGTTGAGAACACCAATGTTAAAGAGACCCCAAAGGCTTTCAGAGAAAAAAATGAACGCCTTGTGTAGAAGACTGTGAATTAGAGTGGCAATTTTGGATGCTAGAAGGCAAGGAAGTTTTTAGAATTCTTCAGGAAAATGACGGCTATCTGTATGCTACCTTTACATGTAACTGCTAAGTTAGCTGAGCATAGAATTTAAGTATTTCCAACAAGTACTATAAAGACCCAGAAAGTGTCACCGTGCATCTGAGAAGTATTATAAGATATGTTATTACATAATGAGGGCATGGCCAAGAAAGAAACAGGGTCTCCAATTCAGGGAAGATGGAGAGATGGGTCTTGGGAGGATAGATGGAGAGGAGGCCTAGGTGGCCACCAGCTTAGACTGGAGAAGAAGAAAAGTTGGCACCTTGGGCAGAGTGTCCCTTGGAAAAAGATAACTGCTACATTATCTGTTATAAGAAAAAGCACTTGGTTAAACACAGAGAAAATTTACTACAGCTGAGAGAAATTTGGGAAAATTCAATATTCAACTTCAAGATAAAACAGTGATCAACCCAGAAAAAAAAAAAACCAGAAAAAAAATGATTTGAGAGGAAAAAGGTGTCATACTATCATATTTTACTGAATATAAGATGTCTTCAATTGTAAAAACATATTATTTTAAGAAGAAAAAAACTGTTGCCTATTTTTTTAAAAAAGCAAACTGTGAGTTGTAAGACACATTCAAATTTCAGAGGTGTTAAAAAGTTTAAAACTGTACTTTTTGGAATTGGTAAAAAATAGTATCCTCTCTGGGTTTGCAGTAGACTATACACTGATTATTGGTTTAACCACAAATTGTGATATGAATTTATTGTAAGCCTAAGGAGAGCAAAAGTATGAATGTTGACCTCTTTGGGAAATATACCTGTTAAATATGCATATGCAAAAAAGAAAGGCAACAGTTAATGTCCAGGATTGATAAATCAAGAATTAGCATTAATCAGGCATATGGATATAGTCAAATGAAGGAACAGCTACCTTGGTTGAAAATGGTGGCCTGTGGGCAGTGGTCTAGGGTTGGTTGGGTTTGGTTGGGGTGAAGTGATTCGGAGAATTGCTGATTTTTATTAGAAGTCTTTGTCCCATTAGTGCATGGTTAGCAAATACATGTTTTTTTTTGCTGTAAACAAAGGTAGAAGAAAATACACATACACAAAACCTTTTGGGGGCTTAAAAGTGGGACAGAAATGGGAGACTTAGGGCCTCCAAACTTAACGTCTGTTTAAAATATCGTCTCCAAACTTAAGGTTAAGATATGATCATATTCTGCCTCATTGACCTCCAGAAAGACCAGGCTCCCCTCCCTGTATCTTCCCTCTTTCTTCCCCTAAAATGGAAGCGTGCCCCAGAGTCCTCTTCTTTTGTGGTAAACTGTAGAGTTTACCTGCTGTTCCACGTACTTCAACCTGTTTGCTCCTCACCATGGCCAGGCCGGTTAGGTGGGATGATCGCTATTTCACCCTCATAGGGACTGAGGCAGGAGTACTCACCCCTGTCTAGTCAGCCCGACCTGCTGCAGAATCTCAGAGGCACTCCTTTTGTCTCTTAAGTCTCCCGGCCACCTAATGTCATTCTGTCTCCATGACATTTTAGAGGAAAGAGGAAGAAGAGAGGAAGCGAGGAGAAGAGCAGATTCGCCTCCAGGAAGAACAGAGGGCAAAGGAACTCTACTGGACCCTGAAGCAGGCCCAGCTGCATTGCCAAGCCAGCGAGAAAGAGGAGCGTGAGTGGGAGGAACAGTGTGAGTAGAGCTTGCTTCTTGGGAAGGGGGATCCACCCTGGCTTCCCCACTCACCTCCTCCTACTGCTGATTTGCTGGGTCATTTCAGTTCACTCACCCCATCGCCTTTACCCAGGGCTGATCATGTGCTCCGTGCTACTAAGGCCTCAGAGAGTAAGGGCTCCACCTTTGAGAAGCTTGTGTGCCTTTTGGGAAACTTTCTTACATTTAAAAAAAATCCTACATTTATTGAGTTGACAAAAATTTCCTTGTTCTGTACTAAGCCTTGGGGATCCAGCGATGAGGAATCATGGCCTGAATCTTGGAGAAACTCACCAATGAGAGCAGCAGAAAGACACACAGAGGAAGATGTAGCGTGTATGGTTGGAACTGATAGTGGCTGTCCCAGTGGGGTGTCAGAATTGTCATGAAGTGAGGCTTATTGGTGACATAGGAATAAGCAAGTCAAAGAGGCTGGGGAGGCCACCCTAGATGGAGGCTCCAGCAGGTGCAAAGGCATGGTGACCAAGGCATATGGCATGCCTAGGAAATATGGGGTAGCTAGAGCTGGGAGAGTGTTAGTCATGTGAAAAGCTAGGGGGAAAGGAAAGGTGAGACCAGGTTTGAAGGATGGTGTTTTACTATGTACCTAGGATTTGTTTTAATCAGGTATAGCAAGACATGCAGACCCAGAAATGACTTTCATGAAGGAATACGTTTTTACTTACAGATCTCTACAGACAAGAGGCATGGCATGCCATGCAGGGCCAGATGGGGACGCACCAGGGTTGGTCAGAAGGCAGAGGGGATGAAGGGAACACATGAGTAAGAGCCTTTATTGTGGTTTCCTTGGGAAAGGTAAGGTGAGGCAGGGTAGGCAGGCTTAGGATTGGCTAGTTTGAGTAATCTCAGTGGGCTCTGGGATGTAGGGGCTGTCTTTAGTTTTGTGGCATCTGGCCCTGGGGTGATTAGGGCAGATGAATCTTGGCCAGAGTACAAGAGTCCAATAAAGGAGGTAGTTGGAGAGTATGGGCTTTGGATTGGATGTTTTGCATATGAAGGGGCATGTGTAGGCAAGTGTTTTACTCTGGAATTGGCTAGCCCTGGCAGAGTCAATTTCTCAGGAATTAGCAACGCCTCAGATGTTGAAAAACATTAGAAAATACAGAAAATTAAAAGGCATGATTAATACAGGTAGACAGAGGGAAACTTCCAAAGGTGAGCAACATGGTTCTGGCAAGGCTTAGAGGAGTGAGAAAGGAGGAGGCTGTTGCAATGGTACACTTTAGAGATCATTGGAACTAGGGCCATGAAAGGAGAGCAGAGATGTGAGGTTTCTTCTACAGGCCAGCCCGCTGGTCCTCAGCATGTCTTAACCTTATGCCAGATTCATTAAACAGTCTTAAAAAATTGAGATGTAATTTACATGCCATAAAATTTATCCTTTTAAAGTGTACAATTCAGCAGTTTTTAGTATACTCACAAGGTTGTGCAATTACCACCACTATCCAATTCCAGAACGTTTCCATCACTTCAAAAAGGAACTCTGTCCCGATTAGCAGTTTCTCCCTACTCCGCACCGCACCCTTGGAAACCACCAAGCTGATTTCTGTTTTCATGAATTTCCATATAACTAGAATCATTCATTATGTGGCCTTTTGTGTCTGACTTCTTTCATTTAGCAAGTTTTCAAAGTCTATCCATGTTGTAGCACATAGCATTTCTTCATTCCTTTTGTCGAATCATTTATCAGTTGATGAACATTTGGTTTTTTTTTTACTTTTTTGCTATTTTGAATAATGTTGCTATGAACATTTGTGTACAAGTTTTTCTGTAAACATACATTTTCAACTCTCTTGGGCATATATCTAGGAGTGGAGCTTCTGAGTCATATGATGTCTTAGTTCATTTTTTCCTGCTATAACTGAGTAATTTATAAATAAAAGAAATTTATTTCTTACAGTTCTGGAGACTGGAAAGTCTGAGGCCAAAGAGCTGCATCTGGTGAGCCTTCTCGCTGGTGGGGACTCTCTGTAGAGTCCTAAGGCCATGCAGGAGAATATACAAGGAAGAGACACCCTGAGAGCCAAATTGGCTTTTATAACAGTCCCACTCTCTTGATAACTAAACCACACCCAAGATAACCTAGTAACTCATGAATGGATTAAACAACTCATGAAGGCAGAACCCTCATGATCTAATAACCTCTTAAAGGCTTTGTCTATTACATCGGGGATAACATCTGTTGCATTGAGGGTAACCTCTTAAGGGCCTCATACTATTACATTGGGGATTAAATTTCAACATGAGTTTCAGAGGGGACAAACATTCAAATCATAGCATATGGTAACAATGTTTAACATTTTGAATAATTGCCATATTTCTCCAAAGTGACTGTACCATTTTGTATCCCTGCCAGTAATGCATGAGGGTTCTAATTTTTCACATCCTTTTCAACACTTGTAATTGTTTGTGTTTTTTTATTATAGCCATTCTAGAGTGTTTGAAATGATATCTCATTGTGGTTTTGATTTGCATTTCCCTAATGACTAATGATGTTGAACATCTTTTCATATGCTTTATGGTCACTTTAGTATCATCTTTGGAGAAATGTCTATTCAAGGTCTTTGCCCATTTTTGAATTTTGTTGTTATTGAATGGCAAGTGTTTTCATATGTTCTGGATATTAATCCCTTATCAGAGATATGCTTTGAAATATTTTTCTCGTTTTTTGGGTTGTCTTTTCACTTTCTTGATAATACTTTGAAGCACAATAACTTTTAATTTTTATTAAGCCTAATTTATCCATTTTTTGGGATTGCTTATGAGTTGTGTTTTTTTTAATCCTCTGTCGCCCAGGTGGGAGTGCAATGGCATGCTCCCGGCCACTGCAGCTTCGACTTGCTGGGCTCCAGTGGTCCTTCCGCCTCAGCCTTCCAATGCTGGAACTACAGGCGCGTGCTACCATGCCCAGCTCATTTTTTATTTATTGTAGAGACAAGGTCTCGCCAAGTTGCCTGGGTGGGTCTCAAACCCACGGGCTCAGGCAATCCACTTGCCTTGGCCTCCCAAAGTGCTGGGATTACAGGCTGAGCCACCAAGCCCGGCCGAGTTGTGTTATTTTTAAGAAACCATCTTTGTTATCTTTGTTCTAAGAGATTTATAGTTTTAGCCTTTACATTTAGGTCTTTTATCCATTTTAAGTTAATTTTTGTGTGAGGTATGGTTCCTACTTAATTCTTTTACATATGACCATCCAAGTTGTCCAAGCACAATTTATTGGAAAAAACGATTGTTTTGTCATTGGATGATCTTGGCACCCTTGTTGAAAATCATTGACTAAATATGTAAGCGCCTGTTTCTTTATTCTCAATCTTATCCTGTTGATTTATATGTCTTTTCTTATGCTGGTATGACACAGTCTGGATTACTGTAGCTTTATAGTACAGTTTGAAACTGGACAGTATGAGATCTCTGTGGCTGTTCTTCTGTTTCAGGATTATTATTTTGGTTATTCTGAATCTCATATTTCCATATAGTTTAGGAGCAGGTTGTCAATTTCTCCAATAATGCCAGCTGGGATTTTCACAGTGGTTGTATTACATCTATAGATCAATTTAAAGAATGTTGCCATCTTAACAATATTTAGTCTTCCAGTTTATTATCACAGAATGTCTTTCTATTTATCTAACTTTTAAAATCTCTTTCAATAATATTTTATATTTTCAGTGTAGAAGTCTTGCCCTTGTTTTGCAAACTTTATTTTTTAAATACTATTATAAATAGAATTGTTTTCTTTGTTTAATTTTTGAATTCGTTATTGTTAGCATATAAAAATGCAATTGGCTTTTTAATTTTCATCTTGTATCCTGTAACCTTGCTAAACTTGTATATTAGCTGGGATAGATTTTTTTGTGTGTGAATTTCTTAAGATTTTCTACATACAAGATAATTTCATATGCAATGAGAGATAGTTTTACTTCTTCCTTTCCAGTCTGGATGCCTTTTATTGCTTTTTCTTGCCTAATTGCTCTGACTAGAACTTTATTATTATGCTGAATAAAAATGGCAAAAGCAGGCATTCTTGTTTTATTTCTGATCTTAGGAGTAACCTTTCAGTCTTTCATCATTAAATATGACATTAGCTATGGGTTTTCATGCATAATCTTGAGTTGAGGAAGTTTTACACTTTTTTAGACTGTTGAATGTTTTTATGATGAAAGGGTGTTGGCTTTTGTCAAATTTTTTTGCATCTGTTGAGATGATCTTGTCTTTTTGTTTTTGAATTCTATTAACATGGATTATTCTGAGGTTGAGTTTCACATGTTGAACCAAGTTTGCATTGTCCCATCAATAAGTCCCACTTGTTTAAAGTGTATAATACTTTTTATATGTTGCTAGATTCCATTTGGTAGTATTTTGTTAAGGATTTTGGCATCTTTATTCATCAGGGATATTGGTCTGTAACTTTCTTTTCTTGTGATGTTTTTGTCTGGTTGTGGTGTTAGGGTAATAGCCTCAAAGAATGAGTTTAAAAGTGTTTACCCTTTTTTTAAAGAAGAAATTAATTCCTTAAACATTTTGTAGGATTCACCAGTAAAGCCATCTAGTTCTGGGGTTTCTTTGTGGAAAGTTTTTTTTTTTTAATTACTAATTTAATCTCTTCACTTATTATGAGCTATTTTTTAATCTTGAATAAATGTTCCCTGGATTGCTTCAAGCTTTGGTTAATTTCTAACAATGTGAGAAAGTTGATTCTGAGAATTTTCAATGGTCTTTTTTTTTTTTTTAGTTGACATCTCACTCTATTGTCCAAGCTGAAAAGCTGTCACAGTCCACTGCAGCCTCGACCTTCTGGGCTCAGGCAATTCTGCTACCTCAGCCTCCTGAGTAGCTGGGACTACAGGTGCATGCCATCATGCCTGGCTAATTTTTAAAATTTTTTGTAGAAATGAGGTCTTGCTATGTTGCCTAGGCTAGTCTCGAACTCCTGAGTTCAAGCAATCCTTTTGCCTTGACCT